TTTTTAAATCGGTCTTAATACGTTTTGAGATATGGACTTTCATCGTCAGGGGTCAACTATCAATAAAGGAGGACTTATTGTTCTTCCTTGACTCTTGACTAACTGTGGTTACGGCTAATATTATTTTGCCCCAAGTTAGAAATTACTCAGTTGTTTAAAGTTGTTTAGCTTTGAAATAAAATGGTTTTGATTTTCACCAAATTGTGATGATAACCAATAGTAATGTCAAAAAGATATGAACATCAGAAGATTTGATGATATGCAGCAGTAACTTCGAAAGAGAAATGTAAGGCGTTTGACTGCATATGCCTCTTATGACTATTAGGCATGCCCTCTGAATCAAAAGAAGTGAGTAGCTCCCATAATTCTTTGGTATTACTTGGTCTTAGGGGATTCCCCTTAGGTTTCCCTGCATGGTCCTACAAGTCATATATAGATCTATAACATGATATTCAAAATAGCGGCAAGGAGGATTTGCTCCGAGGCTCCCAACTCGATATTCGACCTTGACCTTGATCGGTGACAACATTGGAATGGTATAACCGATCTTTTTAATCACCGTTTTCAGCATATTCACTGGCGGATTACTTTTTGGTCATTACTGGGCCTTTTAAGGCCTTATTTTTTAATTTCAGGCCAAATTTTGAAGAAAATGGGCCTCAAAATTTCAAAATTTGGGCCCACTTTAGGATTTTAGTGGCCCAAAAGGCAGGAACTTAATGTCTTTCATGTATAACTTTGCGGGAAATTCAAATAAACCAAGAGTTTACTTCTAATATACACTGGAGACAAGACGTGGCAAAGTTAGCTCAGCAACTTGATAAAAATGTAAGGAAAAACTTAATGGACATTGGGGGGGGGGGGGGGGGGGAGGGAGGGCTCTTGTAAATAAATGTACTGTATATAATGTTAAATAGAATTAAATATGTTATGTGAGATTTATGAAATACAAGATCATGAAGGACTAAAGGAGAAACAAAGGAATTTACAGACAAATAATTCACATATGAATTAAGGCTGACTGCTGGTTGCTCATGAGTAATTCCACCACCTCCAATTATTAGTACGCCCCGATTTATTCAGGGCTATTGTAATTAATCACAGCAATTATGGAGTTTCCTATCAGCCAATCATTTATGATAGTTGTATCCTTTTGCAATTTACATATGTGGAGAATTTCTATCAGAAGTATTTTTACAAAAGCACATAGATATATACCACAAGTACAAATGACATATAAATTACTTATCATGAGTATTATACGCAATCTGTATGCTTATATACAAATTATTATTGCATACAATTCAAGTAAGTCCCAAAAATCATTTCACAAATACCCTTTTACATCACTCAGAGCTGTCTTTCACTATACTCTGCATGAGAACACGTATACACATAATTCAGTTCCTCTTGGTGATATAAACTATATCATTCAAACAACATGACCATAGTGGATTATTGATTATGTTACACTTTTGTGTGCTGACTAGAGATGGCGCCACTATTTGAACAGCGCACTGGCGAGATGGCCTATCATCCGTCTGCCGGTTAATCCAATCGAGTCAAGAGATTAACATTTTTTCTTCCACACTACCTACCATTAAACTTGTATCTTATGTACATGTTACATATTTCCATGTCTCTCATCACCTTTACCCGTAATGCAACACGGCCCACACTACAATAAATTACAACTGTAATGAGTAAACGTTTGTTTTTATCGCATGTAGGTAAAATATTTATCCGGCTTGATCATCAATTGTCATTCAATACAGGAAATAGAGTAAACATGTTTTCATCTACTTGTTTTTCCATTCACTTGTTTCTGTTGATATTATTGTTATACGAATATTGTTGCAAGTTAGTAAACTGCAGAGGTATCCATTATCATTTTATTCAGATATACAAGGTACAAGTGCTGCTTCCCAAATCCCACCACTTTCTAATCAAAATCAAGCACCGATTACAGATAACCTTATAAGACGACAAATGCCTTTCTTAAAATATCTGCCTCAAAATCACATGGATAATATCAATCATGACCATCTACCTAATTTTCCTTATAGAATCGGGTAAATTGATGAAATTGTTGATTCTGTCACTCGACACTTTTAATTTTTTATTAACTTTTAATTTTACAGCACATAGAATCTCAAGGCCCCTATCTACTCTATTTAACTGATTGTGTTCAAGAAATGGAAGATGGGCAACATTTAATTTTCAAAAAAGGTGACAAGTCAACTACCGCCCTATTATATAAAAATTTTCAAGAAGGGAAAGCATCAAAAGGAAGATTTCTAGATATTGCATCAGTATTTGACACAATCCCTCATCACTTACTCCTCTTGAAACTTAATCTTATGGTAGAAAGGAACAGTTCCTGAATGTCATAAAATCTTATCTCTCTGACAGTAGAATGTATGTTAACTTAGCTGGTATTTCATCTGCAATGTCAGAGCCCAACTTCATCAACCGTGGCGTACCACAAGGGTCAAATTTGGGACCATTTTTCTAATTATATAAACATGATCTTCCCGATAAAATTGACACACCGTGCTACATCTATGCAGATGATACTTCTCTTCAGTTCTCTTTTGATCAAAAAATCCAAAAACGTTGTTCAATCTGTAGTAAGTAACCTGATGGCAATTTAAAAATGGTCTAAATTATGAAAGCTTCGCTTCAGTTATTTTTCGTACCCCGCGAATGCTCATCAAAATGTGACCAACTCATTTCTTAACAATGCTCACAGGCTGGTATCGAAATATTTGTCCGCTGTGACGGAGCATGCTATTTTTCATAAAAACACTAAGAATACTTCACGATTTATTTTTTAACTAATATGTTTCGTTATACCATACAAAATTACTTACTCCATGCAATGGATATATCATTTGCGGGTAACTTTCACTTCTGTTTGAAGTCCAATTACGCTGGGAAGAAAAGCTATTGATAATGGCGCCGGAGTATCATACTTCAAAATGTACCATTTCTTGTTTAACTTTCTAATGGCACGATATAGTGACACGATAATATTTACACATGGTTTCAGCATAACTATGAGGGTATAAATGAGATGTTGATGTATTTGGTCTTTTTAATTCTTTTATAAAAAATATTGTTTAATTTTTTTGTCCGCTGTGACGGAGCAGTTGCAAATGTGAACTGTGAAAATGCTCCGTCACAGCGGACAAAAAATATTAATATTATTTTTTATAAAAAAATTTAAAAGACCCAATGCATTAATATCTCATTAATACATTCAGAGTTATGCTGAAAACATATGTTAATATTATCGTGTCACTATCGTGCCATTAAAAAGTTAAAAAAGAAATGGTACATTTTAGAGTTTGATACTCTGGCGCCGTTTTCAATAGATTATACTCCTAGCGTTATTGGACTTCAAACAGAAGTGGAGGTTACACGTAAATGATATATCCATTGCATGGAGTAAGTAATTATCTTTGATATAACGAAACATATGAGTTAAAAAATAAATCGTGAAGCATTCTTAGTGTTTTTATGAAAAATAGCATGCTCCGTCACAGCGGACAAATCTTTCGATACCAGCCTGTGATCCTGAGATCAAAAGAATTGCAACCTACGAGGGTTGACAATAAAAACAGATACAAACGCAACAAAAATAAGGATGAGAATTGTATTCACAGTTTTAGCAGTTTATTTGTTTTCGTATGTTACTGAAGTGTTGTATTCGGAATACTTTTCAATGCCGTGGCCATATCACACATATATAATACTATCGTTCTAACAGATCAATAAGGTCGCCATTCATACACTATGGCCTTAACTTAAAGCGTAGGCTAACGCATATCATTTAGCAAACGCGAACGCCTGTTTTGGTGTTGTTGAATAATAATAATATAAAACAAACATACATACTACAGTATGTAAATTAATTGATACACTGAAATAAAAAGTCTCGTGAAAAAATGAAAATGAGAACGTGAACGAAGAAGGTTTTACGTCTTACCATCGACAGATGAGTATTTGTAGCTTACATCAATATCCTTGAGCATGCTCTGTTATAGTATCACCCTCCGAACTTGCTAATGAACCTACACCTTTTGAGGCAGTTTTTTTTGGAGATTTCGGTCATAGTGCTGACCATGAGAAGACTTGGGAAAGAAGAACTACATAAATCATTCAGCATAGGTTTAGGTCACAATTGATACAATTCAACCTTGCTCAATGTCCTTTAATTCCACCAAGTTTTATTGGTCTATTTTTAATGGCCACGATTCTATGGCCATTTTACCAAATATGCTCAAAATGCCGATCTCGTCTAGCTCTGGAGGCTAACTTGGACGCATTGGGTGAAGTTGTGCTGACTTCATGCGCACAAATATCTTGTGTAATGGCTCTAATCGTCCTTTTTTATCTCTTGTTTAAACTCAATGATGATTCTATCGTTGTCAGTGAGGACAATATATGAAATAATGTAAAATTTGGGGAATTTATCTCGGGTAAGTTTGGCATGTTTCAGCGTTCGGAGCATGTTTTGCTAAATGGCCATAAAATCGTGACCATTGGAAATAATCCAATGAAACTTCGAAGAATGAAAGAACGATGAAAAGGGTTTAGTTATGTCAAATATGATTTTAATTAATTATTAACATGCGTTTGGGTTACCTTTCTTGACTTACCCTGTATGTAATCTCGCGAAAGAGGTGGAGAATTATGATTCAAGTTCAAGCTATAATGATGGACGGGAGAACTTTGACAATGTTTTTTTAGATGGTGTAGCACTCGCTCTTAGAAACGAACGAGGACGCCCCTGCACCATTTTTTACTGAAATTTTCCCTGAAATTCCGTATTAATGTAAACTAACAGTGTGCTACAGAATGATATGTACTCAGCACTCAGCTAATTTTAATTCATGATCGAAAATCTGTTGGGAGATGAAAACACCCGGGGCAATGCAAAAAGATATAACGTTTATGAACTAATGATATAGTGTCGGCACTAAACTAAATAATGCTTGTTTTGAGAAATAACTGTTTTGAATTTATTGATTTGCATATTCAGACCATTCAAAAAGAATAAATCAGACTTGAATTTTAGTTTCGTCATGTTCAGCCACTACAACTGGATTAAATATCAAAGACCATTCCCACTTCATCAACAGATAACTCATTTCCTTGACTCTCTCCGCTTCAGAAGTTTCCTTTTGTTCCACTTAGCAAAGATTCTAGCTGGACTTCCTGATCCGCCACGTATCTTTAATGGCATGACGTACACTGTAGCCCCATCTTCAGGGATCAGGTCAAGATTGGCAACATTTTCCAAGCCCCAAATATTTTGTGGGGATATAATATTGTGCACGCTGTAATTCACATACGAACTCCCACGGTCAAAACTCAATGCATCCGAGCCAATACCAATGATATTACGCTCTTTGACAAGCCATTCTGCCAATTCTGGACTGAATCCCGCGAATCGCAGTTTCGTGATATCGCCGTGCTCTTCTGTGCCAATATACGCTGTGACATTCGGCCAGTTTTTACCATTGCCAGAGTTCATTAAAACAATAGCACCATTAGGAATTCTACCATATTTTCTCTCCCATGCTTCGGCGTCGGCGATATCTACTGTTGTGTCTTCATCGGATGGGGTTTTGTTCACCTTTTCCCGAATATCAAGGACAACCGCTGGCCCAACTAGGCGTTCAAGTGGAATCTCGTTCACTTTCCATCCCGATTCAAAGAAGTGGTATGGGGCGTCTATGTGTGAACCACTATGTTCTGGCATCTCAAAGTCATACATGATAATACTAAAAAGATAAACATCAATGACCTTAGAGGCCAAATCAAAAGTTTGAAAATATGTTTTTATCATTCATTTTCTATTTTTCATGACTTTGAAAGTTAGTTTAGAAATATTTGAAAAAAGGTTGTCAGCTTTTTATTCCTCCAATATTCGAATTTCCTGCCGTTTTAAATAAAGTTAAAAACGTTTAATCATCAAATATTCCACTCTACAGTGCGTATCAAAAAACGCAACAAATTGTTAACTCGAAAAAGCACAAAACCAGTGATAACAGCATTGATTTCATTCAATGTACCATAAAGCCATGTGTCTCCTCTTTCCAATGGTATGTCGTTTATTGACATTGGGTCATGGTTGGGCGAGTAATCATTCATTTTGCAAAGTTGGCCAAAATTAGCTTAGGACCAAGTTATTAACACCGCGAAAGTCAATGCACGGGGCCAGGTGTTATTGGAAGAAAACATAAAACCCAGATATAACTGCATCCTTTTCATTCAATGTACCAAAATCCACATTTCTCCTCTTTGCAATGTTATGTCATTCATTCTCAGGGATTCTTGCTTGGCCAAATAATCATGGATCTCGCAAAGTGGGGCAAAATCAGCTCAGAATCAAATTTGAAACATTGCAAAAGTCAATGCAATGGGCATAAGGGCTATTGGAACAAGGTGTGACAGGTGTGGCATAGACAGAAAAGTGTTCATACTCATACTCTTACAAGAATACATCCTATACCCCTCCGAAATGCAACCACTTCTTAGCATACAAAGATGCGCACATCTCTCAATGGCATTCAAGGTTAAGCTCTGAGTCATCTATGGGTTAAGGCGGAGAAAACCAGCCCATTGGCAATCGTTTCTCGAAATTTTGCAATATCTGGGTGAGGAATGGTTAACACTCTCCTCCTGAGATAGCTCCAAAAGAAAAAGTCACAACAATTCAAGTCAGGAGAACTTCCATTAGCACTTAGCCCTTGCACTGACTTTTGCAATATCTGAAACTTGGTCCAGAACCGACTTTGGCCAATTGTGCAAAACGAATGATTTTTCGCCCAACACTGGCCACATGTGAATGAATGACATAACCTTTAAAAGAGGAGGGACGTGGCTTTATGGTACATTAAATGAAATTGATGTAGTCATCACTGGTTTTGTGGTTTTACGAGATAACTGTTTGTTGCGTTTTTTTTGATACGCCCTGTACAGTGCAAAACACATTACCTTTTCAAAACTATTGTGAAGACCTACTGAACAAAGGACACACTATTTCAATGATAATTTGTCATATCCAATGTGCCACTTTAATGTTTTAGCATATTAAAAACGGTTGCACCCGAAGTGACATCATCGTGGTGCCACTTAGGGTGTTATTTTGGGGAAAAATAAAATTTTATGCCAAACCAATAATTATTATACCATAAACAAGAATAATATTATTGTACCATTGCCTCTTTGAGAACTTTCTTTAAGAATTCTAAAATGCAATTTTCTAATTTCACACATGGATGAGGTCATTTCCCGCCTATTTGTCATTCGTTCGACCAAAAACACGTGATGATGAATGCTTTGCATTGGTGTAAATTATTGCCTATTAAAAAATATATGTGACTTTTAAAATCTAGTTTTATGAAAATTAACGATTTTTCAAACAAAAAATCCTCGAAAGTCGGCGGTTGGCTCAGAAATGGATTTTGACTGTATAATTTAACTCAACAGACACGGTTATGCCCGGTTCATAGAATATCTTTTCAGTTACTTTATTAAAAAAGGTGTAATGAAGAAATAGTTTAATGGGAACTCGTTTGCATATGTTTCGACTTTCTCTGGTTGAAAGTTGCCTCTCCGTCACTCACGCTAAGCTGAGAATGAATAACATAGTCAGTACTTACAACGGATTATCCAGGAAAGGCCCTCTATGTACGGTTTTTAATGTGAAAGGGTTGTCTCCAGGGTACTGTGGAAGTCCGGTAAATAATTCATGACTCATATCCACGTATGGACATGTAGAATTAGAGATACAGAATCCAAAAAGTGCAAAGATCCTTGCCCAATATGCCATTTTCTTTTCTATATTATTTTCCCTAAGACAAACTTATTTGATGACATAGAACTGGGTGATGCGTTATGGACCTATATCTACTTTAATGATAGCATGAATAAGGTTGATTAATTGGACAATAAAGTGATTTATAATTATATAATCACTCCTTTGAGCTAGTGAATACATGTACGTCAGGATTACTTTCATCAAGATTATATATTTCGCAATTACTACAACATGATGTGCAATTTAAAAATACATAAAGTCGTTTATAGCTAGTTTGTTATATAAAAGATGTAGATGTAGAAGATAAGGTCAATAAACCCGATCGCGAGTCAATAAACGTATAACAATGAATGGAGTCAGACAACAGTGACAATAGTGATGGTGATTAATAATGAATTTTCTTTTCAAACCACATAATTTTTAATTTTCTATTTTTACATAGATTTCAATCTTGATGGTTGCCAACCGTTTGGTAACATAAGCAGCAATTAAGAGATTTCGCTCATTTACAATTTATGTGAAATTTTGCGTGTTTTGTGTTTTGCATGTACGTATAGCAATGTATATTCCATCGATTAATTCTGTTCTTTTCACCAAAAATGAATTCTAGTCTCCTCCAAATTGCTTGTTTATAGGGTGGATTGGATAGTAATATAACTTTATGGAAAGTATTACTATGATTCTCTACCAATAACGATGTCTAAACGAGATCGGTATTTAGGCCAACAACTCAATTATAAACAACCTTTTATAAGCAATGTCTCCTTATAAATGGATAAGAAGGGGAGAAACCCCAGGGTTCAAAGATGACATACGCTTATAATGTAAATCTGTATTGATATGACATCGTCGCTGATTGGTTCAGCGAGTCGATCGTTGATTGGTTTAAAACTAGGTCAATTTGAAAGGGGCAGCATCTTTTCCATTCAATCGAGGTTGGGCCGTGCAGCCGAAGGTAAGCCATACAACCGAATTTTGCCGATTCAATCTGACGGAGAATGCCGAGCCTCTCTTTTTGACCAATTAGAGATGTCCTCTTCACATTCGTGGTACCCTCGGCCAACTTAGTTTGCAAAGAAACTCTTCGGCAATCTCCGGCTTTTCTTGAGGTATCTTCGGTTGCAAGCCAAAAGTCGACACCCCAATTTGGAAAACTTTGAAAACCAAGATGGAGGGAAGTATAAATATATACGTACTTCCGGGAAAGGAGGTGCGCGAAGGAGGAAATCGTATGTCATCAATTGAATCTGCGTATAACAAATTATGACGTAGTACACACACTTTTATATATTATAAACACAAGGGATTAATCAACACGTTATATGTGCGTTGCACTATTAAGTAATCTTAATTCGAACATGACTGTATTTAATATATCCCCTGCTCTTCGGTCTATATTTCTTAATTAATGCATTTCAAGGACGTAATATGTCACGATTCAATATTGGATTGTGTTAAAGATTCGCGCAATCTTTATCCAATCAGCGTTTGCGATCTGTATCGGCTCACGTATAAAATGCGAATCCAATTCTAAATCCATGCAGGGGTGTATGAGGTACTCGAATGGGAAAGAGCTCGTGAAATCTGAGTTTACATGCACATGGGAAGTGTTTACACATGTTTGGAGTTATTGAAGAAAATGTGATATGGGTGGTTCCGAATTTGAAGTCATTGCTGGAAAATATGATTTTAACACGTGAAATTATATCTATAAATACAGCACTAAAAATAACAGTACACATGAAGTACATGTATGATTGTGTCCAGAAATGTTTGAAACCCTTACGGAAAATTCTGTCCATTTGCTCTTTGCTCTTTCTTCCCGCATTCTAGTGCTATTTGAATGAATATATTTATTAATGTATTTCTAACTAAAGTATATCACTTTTTTTTATAAACCACAAACATTTAGATCGTAAAAAATTATTCAATACTTGAGTGAGCACGATATGCAAGGGCTACTAAGTTGACACAGTAAATGACCATTGATATTGAGTTAGTCCATGCACATAGCGTATTCTGCTAATACACATTTGCTAACACCCCTCACTTTCATAGTGAAGTGACTAATTGGTTTATGTTTACGTTTTAATGTGTTTTGTGTTCCTTGTTGCAGCAAGGGGGGCCAGTAAAGTAGACTAACTTGTTTGCATGGCAAGTTTTGATCGAATATGTGAGACACTTTAAAGGAACGATCATCCAAGAAAGTTGTTGGATTCTTCGATACAGCCCCTACTATGTTTCACAGGGGAGTATATATGATTTGTAATAAAAGCCCTGATATGGTTAATTATAGATGTAAGCTCTGACTCAGTACATTGTGGACTTCACATTCCTCTGAAGGTGTTTTAAAATCGTTGCATGACCCAGCCATAGAGCTAGAGGAAATTTTCAGATAAGCCTTAGTTAAGCTGTTTCCTCCCGTTGATTCACCACCCTTTTGATAAGTTTAAATGTTAAAACACATATTCCTACATACGTTTTCACCTGTTGAGCACCTGTCAACATTACCGTTTACTTATTAATGAAGGGTCTAACAGGGGTCTATAAAATTTCTAAAATATTAATATTGATATTTTTGGTTTATAACTAATGATTTATTAATGAATAGGTTGCTTGAAAGGCAATAAGCATGACATATTTATTTTACTTGTTATATTTAAAATGAGACTGTTTGGCTGTATTTTTTTAGTTCATTTAAAAAATAATAATTGTCACATTTATTTCACCTTCATTGCTTATCTATGTTGTTCTTCAGGATTTGACAAGTAAAAGAATACTATTTATTTGTTGTGTGATCCATGGTTTTTAATTATCATAGGTGTTCCCCAGGGTTGCACTTATTGTCAAACCTATTTTGATTCATAATTTTTTTTTAATCTTTTGAAGCATGATCTTATTGGCAATAAAATATGAATCTGTGAACATACATTAATGTACAGGCCAATCAAATGGGGGATGGAGGTGTGATGGGTGCGACTAGATCCCCTATGGCATCCCTCACTGAAATTGAAAGGGAAACTTTCTATTATTTTTTCTTATTGACTCAAACACTTTGGAAGTGGATAGAAATCACTGAAATTGAATTGCATTGTACCCCTTGTAACCTCCTACCAGAAAACAGTGAAATTATTATTTTTTGTCTCAAACACAAAAAGTGGCAAGTTATAATCAAATAGCACCCCTCTTAAAACAATTGAAAAAATAAAAATTCTGAATTTTATTACATTGTCTCTAACACATGCTCTGTTAATCCAATGTATGTTATTTTCGAAAAATTGACTTAACGTGGGGATATCATTATATACCAATATATTATGATATCCCCATGTTAAGTCAATGGAGCCGAAAACAAAATAAAAACATATATCTGATTTTCGGAGTTTCACCTACTTTCCAAGGCCGAAATACAAGCCATGTCTGAATAAGTGACGTTGCCATTAGAATTGAAAACGATATTCGTATTGTTCGCCAAGCCGTTGTCACTGTACTTGTCTAATAATATCGCTAATTGGATGTGTTCTTGAGAGAAATTCGTACATGAAAATAAAAAATTATCCAGGGTTTCAATCTCAAACATGTCACAAAGGAAGCAGATGCTATTTACACCATCATTTTTTAGCTTCAAGACCCAATACCCCTTTATAAACTTTAGCAACAGTTGTAAAGTAGATAAAGGAGTGGTGGGGGGGGGGGTTAAAGCAAGACTGTATTCTCTCAATTTAACTTAAGATTCGTTCGATTTGGTTTAATTAACAGTTATTTTTTATTTCGATGCACTTCTACAGTACTTATCGGATATCTTAATTATATCTTTAGAGACTAGTCTTTCCTACTTTTCAGTTTTCTATTGTTTCATTTTGCAAAAACCCTGGCTGGACTCCCTGATCCACCACGGATCCTCAATGGCATCACATAGATCTTTGCCCCATTCACAGGGATCTGGTCAACATTGGCAAGATTTTCCAAACCCCATTTGTTATGTGAGGCGACAAATCTGTGTACAGGGACACCGCTGACCATAGGATGGGGCTCATGTATCCGAGGCTATACCATTGATTTTACGTTCTTTGACGAGCCATTTTGTCAACTCAAGACTGAATCCGGGGGATCGTATATTCGTACTATCATCTTGGTCTTTGGCACCACTATAAGCTGTCACATTCGGCCAGTTTTTACCGTTACCCGAGTTCATGATAACGATCGCCCCATTAGGGATTCTTCCATATTTTCTCTCCCAGGTCTCAGCGTCGACGATATCGGCAGTTGGCACTTTATCGGGTGGTGCTTCACTCATCTTTTCACGAATATCAAGTACCACAGCTGGCCCAACCAGATGATCTATCGGAATCTCGTTCACTCGCCATCCTGATTCGTTGAATTGATACGGAGCGTCAATGTGTGTACCGGTATGTTCAGGCATCTCGATGTCATTGAGGACAAAGCTGAAAAGGTGCTTTTATATACTGATGATCATAAATTAATTGCTTGGCTTTCTTGAGGCCCAGCATATTGTCATGAAGCAAAACAGGCAAGTTCTCAATCAGGGGCGTAGTCAGCTTTCAGTCAGGGGGGGGGAGCGATCGTAAGCAAGCCCAATTTTTTTTTTAAGATTCGTTTTGAATTTTACAAAAGTTGATGCAACTTCCTTCACAATTGAGCTAGGAGCTTCAAATAAAAAGCATTTTAAAGCTCTTTTCTTCCTATATCTCATGGTTTTATCGGTAATGGGAGGGGGAGGGGTGATTGCACCCATTGCACCCCTCGGCTACGCCTATGACCACAAGCATATTTTCTCTAAAGGTGTCATGGAACAATAATTTAGAACTATACTTACAACGGGCTTCCTAAAAAAGGCCCCTTACGCACTAGCTTTAGTTTGAATGGGCTATGTCCGGGGTACTGCGGAAGTCCAGCAAACAAATCATAGGTCATATCCAAGAATCGACATTTTGAATTAGAGATACAGAATCCAAAAATTGCAAAGATCGTTGCCCAATGTGTCATCTTCTTTCTATGTTATCACTGATACACTGATGGATAATGGTATCATATTTATCATATTTACAAAACGTTTATGGGACATATATCATCATGAATCATTGATATTGACTTTATACGTCTGCACATAAACGCTTCAATCAACATAGCATTTATAAACAATTTGCATATTTTTGCCTTTAATAATCTCGGACATTTTGCCTCAATTTTACTGGAAAATTCTAATCTTAATTTTCTCAGACATTTGGCCTCAATATAACTGTAAAATTCTAATCTTTCGGTGATGAAGTAAGGGGATTCTAAATACTTCATTTTGAAAAATAATTTTCAACTATAAGGTGCATCTTCAATGTTTTATATAAGTCAAGTGAAGAATGATCTGTCATTTCAAAAACAAGTTCTGTATTTTGCATCTTACGTATTGACTGATATGTATTATGTTATGCGGTAAACACGATACAAATATATCATATGTCATATTCTGCAACGAATACGGCATATGCACTTGCAGTGTATGACAGATTCACATGTGGTATATTGGCAAGTACTCACTAACCAATTCTCGAAATCGTTGTTCCCTCTTCAAAAGAGGAGACGCGAAAATCTTTCCTAATAAGGTCAAAATATTTCCCTATTTTTCAAACGATATATTCGTTCATATTCCCGTACAAGAGTACAGAAAACATTATTAGAAACGATTGATCTCTTATTAGTCTTAATATAACAGCTATTGTATATTGATTCATAGCGTGGTGAAAACGATGATTGAAAAGTGAGAAAATATTCCGGAAGAGAAGGTCACGTGATCAGTTGACTAGTCGCCATTTTGGAAAAAAACAATTCCATTCGACTTTCAATATTTTCCTGCCAATCTTACCGCACTACAAACTGCAACATCGATGCAACAACTGAATAAAAGTATTCATCTTCAAATTACATTATAGAGTTACGTTGAAAACCCACATACAATTGAGCAGTAGACCAAAGAAGACGCATCGCTATTATCTAGGTCAATCTGTTCAGTGGTCCGAAAGCAAATCTATAATACTCGTTTCCGAATTTGTTGGTCATTGTACAATCTTTTATTGATTAAACTCGGTATACTGACTATTAAAGCAATGACAACGAAGAATACTTCCGATGGTGTCATTGTTTTATTTAGCGTGCGGGTGTAAAAACAAAATTGCGTAATTAATTTGATTTAGAACTTTCGGGTCACGCAAATAGCTACGCGAAATGCATAGTGGGAAAATATTGACCAATCAAATGTTGTCCTTTTTGATTGCTTTTTCAGTACATATTTGCGAACGTTCTGATTCAAAGAGCGAACCGCGAAAGGGAGAATTAGAACGTGATACGGAAGTATCGATTGAACGAAGTGGTAAAAGTTTATGAATTATTATAATGATTACTGAATCAACAGTACACAAAAGTGGTAACTTCATTGTTTGACATTGTTTTATCATTGCAAGGGAAACATTACACATAAATATACACGGGTATGATCCAAAGCCCCGCTATGATTTAAAAGTCGCGAGCATATGAATCCAGTTCTGCCTTGGTCTCAATTACCCAAATGCGAGTAGGTAGTTACCAGTTTCACCACCAGGTGGCTGATTCGGGTCAATTAACATGGCAGGTATGTAAGAAAGTTCCCTTAAACTTGAATATTATCAATTTAAGTGGCTCAATTTTCATATAACCCTTACGTGTCTGATACTTATACAAATGAAAATATGTCCAGTAAAGCAAAATATTACCTGTCCACTAAAAGAAAATATATTTCATTTTTTGTGATTTTATAGCATACGGTATATGGGGAATCTCCCCGAGCTAGAAGTCACATTTTCAAAGAAAATTAATTTTTCGAAGTTGATAAACACTTTTTAAAACCACATTTCTAGATGTAATTTTACATGCAGATTTCAAATATGATATTACTTTGACTGAATTTTGAATTTTTAATGACGTAAATCAAGATTATTTCTACTCGCATCTGGGTTATTGTGGCAAATTGGAGCATGTTATATAAATGATCACAATTTCCATAGAACTGTTCTAATGTGTTCAAAATTTCATTGGTGTCACTTGTCTAGTTTAGGAGATATTGCCTACTTCAATGGTCTCCTTTTTTCCGATCACCCTGTACTAGAACTTGGTAGCACTATGTCTTGATATCCTGTGTTTTGGATCTAACCGATAGATAGGTAAGTATCTGCACTAGGATCTTGAATTTGCTCATGTATATTCTTGGTGGTACTGCCTCGTTGCCCAGGTATTATGGGAACATTGTGACTTATACATCATGTGCTAGTAAGCACTGAAATGGACTTCTTTTTTGTGGCCATTGTTCATATAATAGATCATTTTATCAAAAGGCAGGGATGATCTGAGAAGAAGTAATTCGGTAATTGGTATTTCTGAAACTTGGCTTAATAGTAATATTGAATCACTATCTAATCATTATAAATATGAATCCTTTTTTGACCACAGAGATACTAACGGTGGCGGTACTGCTTTGTTTGTCCGTAAAGGTTTAAACTGTAAAATTAGACCAGACTTAAAATTAAATCACAATGATTGCAACTCCACAACTATTGAAATACTCAACCCCAATTCAAAAAACATCTTAGTGTCATGTATTTACAAACCAACTGACGTTAATATCAACAATTTTAATGAGAAATTTGAAGAATTTCTTCGCTCTTTATGTTCTGAGGACAAATCAATCTATTTAATGGGTGATACTAATATTGACTTGCTTAAGGTAGAACACCATAATCCGTCAAATGATTTTATCAACTTGTTATTTTCATATAGCTTATTTCCTTTGATCTTTAAACCTACTAGAGTTACACCTCATTCAGCAACCTTAATTGACAACATCTTCACTAATGTCCCAAATATAAAATCAGCAGGTATACTAGTTCAATCAATTTCTGACCACCTACCCATTTTTGCCATTACAGAAAAAATGTAAAATCAACTATGACTAAAGATATACACTACAGATTAATAAATGATAACTCTATAAGTAATTTCAAACGTAATGTACGAATGATTGACTGGAGTGATGTTACTGAATGTCAAGATACTAATGAAGCTTATTCAATTTTCAATGACAAATTATCAATCCAATATGAACAGGCCTTCCCTATTAAATCCAAAAATGTCAAGCAATTTAAAAACAACGGTAAACCTTGGCTCACATCTGGCATAATAACTTCTTGTAAGACAAAAAATAAACTTTACCTAAAATATCTTAAAAACTCAACGCAGGAAAATAATCAAATTTATAAAAATTATAAGAATAGATTGAAACATATTATGAGAATTGCTGAAAGAAAATATTATCAATCTAGGTTCTCAGAAGTATCATCTAATATTAAAAAAACTTGGGAAATTTTGAACGAAATTATGCAAAGAAAAAAGAAAAATTACAAGCCTCTACCTACCTCATTTACAGAAAATAATAAAACAATAACAGGTAAGAAAAATATAGCCAACGGATTCAACAACTTTTTTTCAAATGTAGGGCTTAATTGTGCAAAAAATGTAGGACAATCCAACTATTCACCTGATACTTTTTTGAATAAAATGAATAGAGTAAATAATTCCTTATTTCTTACTCCAGCCAATCATACAGAAATTGTTAAAATTATCACGCAGTTATCTGACTCAGCAGCTGGGCCAGATAATTTTAAACCTATTGTTATAAAGGAATGCAGTGAATTTCTAGGCTTTCCAATTATGCATGTTATTAACCTTTCATTTTCATCTGGAGTATTTCCAGATAAACTTAAATTCGCAAAAGTAATTCCAATCCACAAAAAAGATAGAACAGATGTATTTAACCATTATAGACCTATCTCTCTCTTATCAGTCTTTTCAAAAATCTTTGAGAAATGTATATATATTCGAACTTTTGATTTCCTTGAAAAACAAAATGTATTTTATGCCCACCAATACGGATTTAAGAAAAATCACTCAACTTTCATGGCACTTTTAAAATTTGTTGAAACCGTACGACTTGCTATTGATAAAAAGAAACTTTGTTTAGGAATTATGTGTGACCTTTCAAAAGCGTTTGATACTTTAAACCATACTATTCTTTTAAAAAAACTAGATCACTATGGCATAATAGGTACTGCTCTCAAATGGTTCCAAAGTTATCTCTCAGATCGATCTCAAATTGTAGAAATTGATGATACAGCCTCAGATATAGCCAATTTTACCTGTGGAGTGCCTCAAGGCACAATACTGGGCCCATTACTTTTTATTATTTACGTTAACGATATCTACAAATGTTCAGAGAAAGCAGAAATGTTCCTTTACGCAGATGACACAAATATTCTCTTTTCTGGTGATAATCTTGATGAAATCAATTCTACTGCAAATAAAGAGCTATCTATTATTAATGAATGGTTTAAATGCAACAAACTCGCTCTCAATCCAAACAAAACCAACTTCATTATTTTCAAAACTGCTCAAAAAGAAATAGATTACAGCAAAGTCAATCTCACAATGAATAACGTCCCACTTGAAAGAAAATCAGTTTGTAATTTCCTCGGAACACTTATTGATGAACATTTATCATGGAAAGCCCACATTAACTATGTTGAAACGAAGATTTCAAAGACTTTGGGAGTTATTCACAGAGTCAAACACCTTTTAGACAAAAAGAGTTTAAAACATATTTATTATTCCTTAATTTATTCATATTTAAACTATAACCTTATTGTGTGGGGGAACGTTCCCCCATCTTCTCTAAATAAAATCCACCGTTTGCAAAAACAATTTATAAGAATATACGATACAAATTGTAAATTAAGAGATCACACAGCACCATTCTTCAAAAATGCTAACATTCTTAATTTATTTCAAATTTTTAAAGTCAGTATCCTGACATATCTTTTCAAATGTATCAAAGGCACTGACCCAACATCCAAAAACCAATTCAGTTATTACACCACCCCAAACAATATTATTCATAGACATGAGACTAGACAACAATTCAAACTCAGATCAGCAA